AATAATTATTACCACAGATGTATTTCATATGTATGAGACATGAATTACTTGTTCAAACACGTTCATGCAGATATAAAACCCCCAAATTAACTTATTAATCAGAAAAAATAAAAATACTGCTATGAAAATGCTGGAAGACAGTGACAAAAGTCTTCTTCTGATAAGACTTTGGATTGGATCAAGCTTGTTGCTGACTTTTGTTAAGATAATATTAGTTCAACACTTCCATACAAAATTTAGTGAACTACCCTAACTGGGCAAGATGGTGTACACCAGCACTTTGAGAGGCTGAGGCAGGTTTGTGAGTTCAAGTCCATGCTAGGCAACTTTGTGACCTATGACACCTTGCCTCAAAACATAAAGGGGTAGGAGTTGTTGGGGATGTACCTCAATGGGAAGCCCCTGGATTCAATCTTCAGAACAAAACCAAAGGAACGGACACACCTGTTCAGAGGAGGCACTGACATACTAATCTATCTTTATTATTTTTTCTAAATTTCATTATACTGACAACATCCTGAACAAGAGAGGAATATGGAGAATAATTCTACACAAACACACACACACACATAATAGCCTTACTATTGTACGTCAATCATGATTTGAAAATCTCTCTATTTTGCCTATGGAAAGGGAATATTCCTATCTACATGGGTTTTAGTTAATTCATTATTATTAAATATAAATTTAGATTTAATAATAAAGCAGTGAACAATCTTACATGTTTACTTGTGTTGACGGACAGAAAATGGATCTAAAAAGCATGAGTTTCACAAAAGCATTCTCAGGCTCATACACAGTGATGGCCATGTTGATATTAATTGTTTGGCTTTTCATAATTTGAAAACCTTCTCACAAAATATAGAAAAAAAGTGGTCCCGTTTGTCATAAATAAGGTGAACGCTGCTTTGATTTCAATTGCATATGATCAGAAATCAGCCCTGAGGTACACAAATGCTACCAAGGACACATGAGGGGACTCAGTCAAGAGCAGTTGTGTCAAATGGGCACTCAGATCCCACTGGAATTTTTGAGCATTGAAAGTGAGGCTATCAAGGGTATTTCTAAACCTTTAAACCCTTGTTTAATGAATGCACTTTCATTTTTGTAGTAAAACAACTTTATCATTATCATGATAGACTTTACCTTTCTATTCCACAAGACAAAATGCTTAGGGTCAAGGAAGGAGCTCAAGCTTAATAAAATATTGCTACATTTCTCAGTTAGAAAGGAAACTTTTCCATTCCTATTCATGTTTTAGTGTTTTATTTTAAAAAGTATGTTTTACTGAAATAAAGGCTTAAAAGGAAAAGTAATATTTAACCCACAACTATTCTCCATATTATATATTATCATGTAGATTTTAGGCAAGTATCTACATGTTTGCACATTGCAGAACAAATCTTTGAAAAGTATTAACTTTCTTCTAGTTAAACTAAAATTCTCATCAAATTGCTTAATTTCTTTTCTTGTACGAAGGACAATACTTGGCAAGAGACATTTTATGCCATCTATACAATTACTAATCTTATCTTACAAATAAAGAAACTCAGTTAAAACAAATTAATAAATACCAAAATAAGAATTCAAGCAACTCATCAAAGCCTTTGAGCTTTAGCCAATGCTCTGAGCCTGTCTTACACCAGACAGTCCTATAATCACAACTCAACTGGAGGATCTTCTCTTTCGCTTTCGAAAGTACAGGTTCACAGAAGAAACCAAAATCAGAGAACTGCATGCTGGGTTGTTCATTCTCTGCTACTGTGAGAAGCTCAAGTGATCCTAACTTTGAGGCACTGAGCTCTTGATCCTTAACAGGCTACAAACACAGCTTTCCGAATCTATGTCACATCAAGACAATATGTTTAGTAATGTTGGGTCACACTATTACTCCTCTTTGCTAATTGCTTTAGAATAAATTTTCTACACAAATTCTTCTCCTATTATTGTCATTATTATTATTATTATCATTTTGAGGCCAGGTCTCCCGTGTAGTTCAGATTTGCCTTGAACTCACTCTGCAGTTCATAGTGGCCTCAAACTCCTGGTGATCCTCCTGCCTCAAGTGCTGGGAAGACAGATGTAAGCTGCCATACCTGGCTGTCCTCCCACCAGACATTATGTTTTCTCAGCAGTAACATGACTTATATTGCAATAGAAGTCACAGGAAAAGAATAATTGGCATCCTAAAACACCAAGCTTAACACAACAAATTTCACCAAAAAGTCTCTCATGTTATGCTACCCACAGTAAATCAAACGGAGGGAACACTAGACGTGAGAAGAGGATGTCTTATTCAGTCACGTACTGGCCAGGGAGTCTTGCACAAATTGTTTAGAATCTGCATCTACTCAAAGGAGAGAGGAGAAAGAAAGAAAGAATGCATTTGGTCACCATTTTTGTTGAACATTAGGATCCCTACTGGGCAGCTGACAAAAAATGTCCAGGTTGTACCCTACAGGAATTAATCAGAATTTTAGGCATGGGATCCAGGTCTCCTTGGAATTCACTGTATTATTTGATACCTTTATGGAGTTCTTTCTAAGGTGAAAATAATTGGAGGATGAGTTGTATTTTATATAATACCTTATGATGATATAAAGCGCATCAAGAGAGGCTGTGGATATAAGCACAGAGGCATAAGCACCTGCTTGGCAAGCATAAGGTCATGAGTTCGATCCCCAGTACCAAAAAAACCCCTAAACAAGCAAAATGCATCAATCCTTGCTGACACACACATGCACACACTCATCATTTTTACTCTATTTTGCCAGAGATGCAAAAGCAATCTATTTTTATACTTTTATTTTAACCTGTATTCAACATTGTTTAACCTTTTCTCGCTTCCTTTTCCTTCTCTCTTGTCTACTCCAAAATATTGAAAATGGTATTTTGTCTTATATTTATAATTACCAGAGTATTAGGATTAATATACAAAACAAGGAAATCTAAGCAGTCAAAAATGTAATAATTTGTTCAAAGTTTCTTAGTTCTATGACATAACCCATCAACACAAAACAAAAAACTATCTTTCAAGTAACTATACTATTCCAGTACTCTACCAGAATATTTTAAAAACAAATTCCTATTCAGTCTGGGCTGTATTTCTTACTCATTGCATGAGGATGTGGGTCATTTCTCTAAATTTTTAATCAACAATTAGATTCAGCCAATTGTATTTTTTAATGCCAGCATTTTCCTTTTTTTATTAAAAAATTAAAAGAAAGAAGGAGATTAAGATAAAAGAGGACATAACAACATAAAAACACAAGTCAGAACAGAGCAATTTAAACAACACAGTGTTTCACCACAAGATAACCCGACATAACAGTAGCTACCATAGTGTCTCTTTCTTTGAAATCTTTGAGTATAACTTTGTATATTACAGCATCAAACACAATATGACAGTGTAAAACCATTCAAGAAAATGAAAGTGTTACAGGGTATTTAGAACCAACTAACAGAAAACAAACAATGGTTTCTATATTATCTCCTTGTCTATAAAAAATTTTGTTTATACTATCACATACAATAAAATCCAATAAGATACAACATGATAAACCAATGGAGACAGAAGAACAAAAGCTTCATGGGACTTCAAAATAAGATGATATTACATCAGCAGTAGCTATTATATTGTCTTGTTTTCTTCAAAATAACTGTTCATACCATCACAGACATTAAAAGCAAACAACCCAGAATAGAATCATTCCAATTAATGAAAGCATTATAAGGCTTCAAAGCAATATAATGGGGAATCATATTTACCACACACTTTTATGTATTCTTATCATTTCTTGCACTAGGGAAACTATTCGGTATTTATACATGTGAGTTTGATTTATTTCGCTTATGAGTATGGTCTCAAGCTGCGCCCATTTATTTATAAATATCTCAATGTGATCATTCTTTATAGTTGAGTAGTACTCCTTGTAAAAAATACAACTTTTTTATCCATTCCTCAGTTGATGGACACTTAGGTTGTTTCCAAGTTCTGGCTATTACAAACTGTGCTGCTATAAACTGTGTTATGATGTTTTCAGTTTTTCTGGGCATATGCATAGAAATGGAATAGCTGGAACAAATGGGACTTCCAATCCCAGCTTTTTGAGAAATCACCAGACTGACCTCCACAATGGTTGCATCAGTCTATACTCTCACCAACAGTGCAGGAGAGTTCCTTTTTCCCCACAGCCTCTCCAGCACTTGTTGTTGATGGTTTTCTTGAGCCTGGCCATTCTTTCACAAGTGAGATGGAATCTCAATGTGGTTTTAATTTGCATTTCTCTAATGAGTAATGATGATGAACATTTTTTCATGTTTATTTACCATTTGTATTTTTTCATCTGAGAAGTGTGTATTCATCTCAGATGCCCATTTTTGGATTGGATCTTTGAATTTTGGAGGTCTGGTTTTTTTTTTTTTTTTTTTTTTTTTTTTTTTAATTCTTTATATGTTTTAGACAGAAGTCCTTTGCCTGAGGGACATTTCTCAAAGATTTTTTTCCCAGTTTGTGGGTTTTCTTTTCACTATCCTGGAGATTTCTTTTGACGTGCAGAAACTTTTTAATAAGAGGCAATCCCAGTTATTGATTCTGGGAAGTATTTCCCGTACGATTTGATTCCTGTTCATGAATTCTCTACCTACCCCTATGTCTTCAAGGTTTTTACCTAATTTGCCTTCCAACAAGTGTTTCTGATTTAATATTCAGATCTTTGATCCATTTAGATTTTAATTTAGTATATGGTGATAGGCATGGGTCTAGTTTTAGTTTTCGGCATGTGGAGAGCCAATGCTAGCATTTTCTAAAACATTTTAATCAATTACCAAAGCTATTAATTAATTAATTAACATACAAATAACATGTTACATAACTTTAAAAGTACCTTCTGTGCTTGGCTATCCGTATCTATTCATGATCAACCCAGACTGCAACAGATTCAAAAGCCACAGCAAATGCACCCTGCCTGCTGACAGCCACTCTGCACCGGGCTCTTTACCTTGGCAGGCTTCTGCGCATCCATGGTCTCTCTGAACTTCTCCTGCACGGTGGCTGCGAGCTGACAGAGCAAGGCACCATTATCCAGCTTCTCCATGAAAGTCTCTGCCGTAATCTCCTTCCCTGAAACAGCAAGCAGAGCTTCAGACAAGCATAAGTATTCCAACAGGAACGCCAGATTCGTGCTGAAGAACATGTTTGATACAATTTTTATCACCAAGCTTTCTCTTCCAGATGAGTGACTCATGTCACCTAGGAACTCACCATGAAGAATGATTTCTTGGCAATTTTATGGCTTTCACCTAGTGGCAAGAATGTCAGTGTTTTAGATTTTCATAATAGAGTTCTAGCAGCATCTCATTAAAGTTTCACATAAAAGGCAACAAATAATATCTTAGGTCAATGAGTCCCATCAGTGAGGATGCAACCACACCAGTCCTCAAAACTTCAAGAACAAGCTTTAGCAGGGATCATACAACTTTCCCTCTCTCATGCAGTCCCGACCCTGGCAGGCCATTCCATGACCATGACCCACAAGCAGAGATGTAATTTTATGTAGGTACACATGCATGACTACAGACAGAAACACTACCATTGTCCTTAGATTCACAGTGTATAAAAAATCAACCATCACTGACAAGTTTAACAGCAAGGCCAATGCCTAAAACCATATTTCTAAATTCCACTGATCTGATTTTCCTGATTAAGATAACACAAGTAAAATGGATGCAGCTGATAAACTCTGTAAAAAAGATCCTTTTTAATTATTGCCTTTCCCATGGTATAGCCCTTGAGCTACAAAATTACGATGGTCAGATCTGCGTTTATTTTCTCTCCTCCCAATTAACATCCCAGCTTCAACTACTGCTCTTATAAGCACAAATCACAGTTGATTGTGTTCAACATTTAGCTGGATGTCCATTAAGGGTAATTTTTTTTTTCTTATAGAGCTTTTAAAATATATTTTTCTTCCCTGTTTCCTTCCATTCATTTTGTAACAGCTTTCTTGAGGTATACTTTATATAGCTTCCAATTCACCCACTTAAAATATATATTTTCATGGCTTTTAGTATATTCAGAGTTGTGTAGTCATCACCATAATTTGAGAGCATTTTTATGTCCCCCCAAAGAAACCTGACACCTCCAGCTGCCACCCCTGGTCCCTCCACTCTCCAGCTCTATAAATACAATCATTAATTACTTTCTTATATGATCCCTTGCAACCCGTCTCTCCCATTCACTCTCCTTCACTTGATTTCTTAGTTTTCTAAGTTTCAGAATACTTCATCTTTATTGTCTTAATTTCCTGTACCTTGGGAGTCACAAGTCCTGTATATTCACGCTTCCATTTGTCATGATGTAGTCATACTAAAAATCCTTCATGATCTGATACCTAATCCTCTAGAGTGAGAGCAATGACTATTCCGTGGGTCCTCAGTTTTTATTTAGGGTGCACACCACGGTCACTGCTAAATTAACATGTCAGACATCATCCTCACTGGGGAGTTCTTCCCTCGGACTTTCTTCCCTTCCCTAATCTCCTTTTCTACCTCTGAAATCTATACACTTTTCCTGGCATTCAAAAGCCTCTCTGTGTGCCTCTAACCCTCCTTCTAATCTCACATCTCTGTAATCTGCAAGTGTATCATAGCCCTTCCCACCTCTCCTCACAGACCTTTCGGTTTCTATGGCTACACTTTTGTTCTTCTGTCTCCAGTGGCCGTCCTTCTTTCTGCAGGGGCAAATTTTATGTTTGCTGTAATCACAGACGACTCTACAAAGAGACTTCCCTGGGCTTACTGACCTCTTTTATATAGTCATTTTCATAAATGTCGTTTATTTTGACACGGACCAACCATTTTATTTTCTATCGTGAGTAATGTGTTTTGTATAAATTTCTTCTCTTCCTCAGTATGAGAAGAATATCTAGGGCTACCATGTTTTGTAATCTCCTACAGAGATGGGCCTAACATCACTCAGACATGGTCACTTAGTGGTGTGTTCTGAAAACATGGCAATTAATGAAGAAACAGACTACTGGGCATCTTTGACAAAATAATGTGCATATTTCTTTTATGAAAAGTAGGTAAGTTAAAATGTAAAAATAAGTATTTTAAAATTTTAGGCTGAGATCCCCACAAGCACCATAGTTCCATTCCACAAATCCATGAAATACAAATAACCCAATGAGAGCCACAGATGAGCTATTTATTAAGCTGACAATATTTAATAGCTTTGAATTTTCAGAACCATTCTGCTCAAGTTGGATCTTTTTCCAGTTTTAGGGGGAATGGATGGGTGAAAAGAATTACTTCTAATGCTTCCCCCTACCGGATATCCACGTTGAGCCCCTGCTTAAGACAATGGGTTCTGCAGGTGGTAAAACATCAGAGCTCTAAATATTCATGACAGAGGTTAGTCTGTGCAAATCTACTTTTATTTCAGAATTGTGGGCAGCACGACTCAATCCAGAAATGAACGTAACGGTCTCACAATACAAAAAGCCAACGTACCAGATTGTAGTGTTCATTTATTGTATTGGCCTGCAGTGACAAATAATAAGAAACGAGTTGTTTTCAAAATGGTTTGATAAGTAAATATGAAAATATTTTATTAAATTTAGTATTTCATTCGAATGTACTTAAATCTCAAGACAGGTAAACATCACACTCAGCTGTTGAGCAATTTCTTTGTAAGTTAATTATACGACTTTCTACATTTGGAAGGTAACTAGGTATTCCGATGTCATTAAGTTCCAAACTTATTTAAAGATCCATTCACAATTATAAATTATAAGATGATTACAATAAACTTAAAAGAACTTAAAATTATGAAAGGAAGGAAAGACTTTCATTAAAAATTCATGAACAATTTACTAAAAGGTATGAGTTGTATGTTTTGTCCTTTATACCTTAGGACTTTTAGTTACCCTGCTTTTCGTGCATACTTGAAAAGTTTCCACTGAACATCTGCATCTAATGAAAAATATATTAGGTGTCAATTTTCAATTCTGTATATTTTATGGTTTGAAAAGGTGAGATTTTTTTTTTGGCTCAAACAGAGACTGTTACATACTTTATAGTTGGAATGTACTGCCTCAAGTGAAGGAAAAATGCAAAACTGAGAAGTTAAAAAAAACTTTACATGTAATATATTTTCCATCCTACCATGAAGAATCCTTAAATATACATCTTAAATGTACTGCATAATTGTAAGAAATCAAATTTAATCTTCTTGTGGGATGATATATCACTTCACTCTTTATTGCACTGATCTTATGAAAAATGATCAAATGAAAAAAGCAGAATATAAAATTAGATTTCAACAGAGCAAATGCAAGAAAAATTCAGGCTATAAAGAACTAATTACAAGTTTTTAAATAAAAGTCTTAAAACTTTAAGTATATCGCATAGGACCAGATCTTTAATATACATTGGTTTGGTTTTAATGTACATTGGTTGGTTTCACACGTCAGATTACAAATACAGGAAGTAGAAATGCTAGAACCAAAGAATTATTTCCTTCCCAGCTGCATTCTTTGAAAGTTCCTGGCATGTTCAGAGGAATAAAGGGGAGTAAGTAGGTATAATGAAATCATCTTGAAGTTGTGAACTGCACAGAGTTGTAAAAACTATTGATCTGAAGATCAATCTAAAATATACTAGCCTGGATGGAAGTACCATCTTCACCTCCTGCACTCATGATTATCAAGTTTGATCTTCATGACATCAATTTAGTCATGACTGACAACTCCCCAGTTCAGATCAGGTACATGATTCAATATGCAAGTTAGTTATTTCTCCTGAAATCATTAGCGCTCCATGATAGGAGAGAAATTGCCACCAGAAAGTTAAATCAAGCAACTAAAATCAGCAGATACTCATCCATATCACTACATTCCTTTCAGAAATACATCTGCCATAATTTCCACAAAGACTAAGTATCAATATCTAAAGTATTTTACACTGGAGCCACCTGGGAAAAATTCATTTTATCTTCTGTAGTGCTGCGAAGGAAATTTTCCACAACAAAATAGCAGCACTGAGTTCTCAGAGGCATGATTGTATCTAATGATTGTGTTTAATATTTATTACTCTGTATCAGATGCTGTTTTAAACCCTTTGCTTGTACATGTATTTCATGAGATTGTAAAGTGAATGCTATAATTTCACCTTTGCATAGATAAGAAAACCTAGGGGCACAGATCAGGTAACTGACATTCTCTTATAGAGGAATCTCTGACTTTGACCCAGAAGTCTGAGGTTAGTGTCTCTGCTTTCACCTATGTATAACTCCTTAAATCTTTGCTGGGTACAAAAATGACTGTTCCCTTTAACAATGTGTTCTTCCAAATCCAGTTGTTTTATTCTCTGCAGAAATATCCCACAAAGATTTTCAAGAAAAAGAACACCCTGAAATGAAGCAATGATGCTGAGGAAGATTACCCTGGAGTCTGGAGAAGGTCCTCTTCCGATGTTTGATTTGATTACAGAACCAAGAGGCTCCCTGTTAGAGCTCTACGGAGAGTCCAGGTCTGGTCCTGTGGGGCTTGCTCATCTTCCCACTGTCCCTCTGTGCTCCGTGTGTTTCTCACACTGCAGAACTCAACTCATTTACCATCCTGAATTCAAATTATTCCGATTTTTTTTTCTGTTGGCACATTGTAGCCATAGTGATCACATTCATCCAAGGGAATTTGTGCCTGTACATGATGTATCCTTCTTCTCCCACTGCCTTCCACACCCTTCTCTTTTTTTCCTTATTGAAATCGAAGTTTGAAAGTTGTGAGACAGGAACTGATTCATGATATCTAGAAACCCTAGACCAATGCCCGTGATATAAATGAAAGTGCCTGCTTTATACCTATGTATATAACAAATGGGTCCTGTTAGAAATCAGGTACACTAACTACTCCGAAAGGCATAAGCTTGTGAACATGAATTTGACTCTTCAAACTTTCGAACAAGCATAAGATAATAACCTTTCAAAGGATTTTTATGGACGATATCAAGAATACAGGAAACTTATAGGATTTACTAATCCTATAAGAAAAACAGCACAAGCTGTTCTAAACTCATTAGATAACAGTTGTAGTTGACCAACCCCAATAGATATTTAATTTT